GATCACCTTAGCTGTAATCACCTACAGAATTTTATTTAAGTTTGGTTCCTTTAGATCCTATAAAGAGTAAATAATTTAAAACTTTATAATAGATCTTGCTGGGGGCAGTGGCACACACCTATAATCCCTGTGGCTGAGGCAGGAGGATTGCGAGTTCAAAGCCAGCCTCAGCAAAAGCAAGGTGCTAAACAACTCAGTGAGACCCTGCCTCTAAATAAACTACAAAATAGGGCTGGAACATGGCTCTGTGGTTGAGTGCCCCTTGGTTCAATCCCTGATACCAAAAAAAAAAACAACTTTATAATAGATCTATAATTTTAAATACATTGTCTAAAAATAAACAGCTGGATCCAAAGGGAAAGGAAAATGACAATTCCAAGAGCTTCTATCAGAAGAAAACATTAACTACAGATTTTCAGTTATCTTAGAAATCAAAGGTCATTATTATATTCTATATATGAATGTCCTGCCCCTCCAAAAGACTAAGAATATATTTGCAGATTACTAGAAAATAGTATGTAGGACACTAATGAGAAAAGAAATCATCTATTTATAGAAAGAACAAGAAAGGTATAATATCTTCAAAGACATATTTTGGTGACCTATTCTTTTTGAGGTAAAAGAGATGAGGAAGAAAAAATGAGTAGATACTCTAGATTAAGACCATCAAGGGTAAGAGCAGAGGCACAAGATGAATAAGAAGGGACTCCTATATAAGACCAGACTCTGGCTGGCTGGCATTGTAGCTCAGCGGTACAGAGCTCGCCTAGCACATGTGAGGCACTGGGTTCAATCCTCAGCACCACATAAAAATGAAATAAAGATACTGTGTCCACCAAGAAAAAAAAAAAAAAAAGACCAGACTCTTCAAGATACCATCTCTTTACAAACCTTGGGTAAACCTGCTATTTTAAAAGAGCAAAGACAGATAGTTGTGGAAATTACAATTAAAATGTTTTTTAAAAATTGAGAGACTTGTCAGCATGAAGCAAGACAATAAAAGTAAAAAAAAGAATATATAATATAGAGGCAGTAAGAAGAGAAGTACAGAATTGAAGATTGCTAGAGAGAACGGAGACAATGAGAACATAAACCTCTCCAAGTCAATCAGCAACCACGATATGAATTTTAATACCAAGTACAAAAATATGAATGTAACACCTAGATTAGGGCAGTGGAGGAAGTCTGCATAGAAACTGCAAGACAAGACAGCACTCTCTGAGCTTTAAGGGATGCAGTGGGGAACTAAGGATGAATGATGGGGGAGGGACTGCAGCAGGGGAAGAGGGTGGGTTGCAGCAGCAGAAAGGGCCTTAAAAAGAGAAGAAAGGGAGTACAACCTATAGGAGAGAAATGGGATAAAGTCAAGTATGGGATCCCAAGAGCATGGAATAGAAGAGAAAATGGAACTGGGCATGCACTAAAAACGTGCAGAAGTCAAGGACCCAAAAAGGGGTTGTAGTTTGGGGAAAGTAGAAGCTAGACAGCTCCACCATAAACCGTACTCAAAAGAAGTGTGAGTCTAGGGCAGCAGTGAAGATAGGAGGTCAGTACAGGGATGCACTCAGATGCAGTCAGGGTATAATACCAGAACTACGGAACCCCCAGTTCACCCCCACCAAAAAGCATGCAAGGGTCAGAAAAGAAGGTGTACTGTTGGGGTCATGAATACAAAAAGGAGGGGAAGAAAGGACAAGAGGTAAATGGGAAACACTGGGGGTGCTTAACCGTAAGGGAAAGGGTGACGGGGAAAGAAAAAGAAGTGGAGTAAGAGATGTTTCCGGAGGTGAAGTGGGAGCAGACCGAGAGGTCCTGCTTACTTGGTCTAGAGGGCAGAAGGGACAGTCCACAGGGACTGAGGGGAGTGGCGGGGAACAGGAAACTATGATGCTAAAGACAAGAACTTGAGGAAGACACGATCCTGGCTGGGTCAGAAAAGGGGATGCCGTTAGTAAGGAGCAGAAGACGTTCGTTAGGAAGCAGACCAGGCGCAGTGGGGAGCAAAGACGGCATGCCAAAGGGACGGAAAGCAGCCAAGGCATGGGGGCAGGGGTAGGAGCACTGGGGGCGCAAGGACGTGAACTGGAGGCGACAGACAGGAGTGTGGGAGTCGCAGAACCGGGAGAGGTGGGTCGACTCACACGGAGGGATCGGGCAGCGTAGGCCGGGGGAGGCGGGGGTCCGGAGACCCGGGCAGGGTTGGGAGAGGAGCGGCCCGAGGGTGACAGGGAGGAGGAGACGCGGGGACGGCGCGGGGCCCGGATACTCACACCTCCAGGATGCGGTCCCCCTTGCGCACCCCGGCCCGGTCGGCCGCCCCCCCGGGCAGCACGGCGCTCACATGCTGCAGCGGCGCGTACAGCTCCCCGTTGATGCTCCGCAGCTGCCCGCCCTCGCTCACTTGGCCCCGCACGTTGAAGCCGTAGCCGGACTCGGACTTGACGATGCGCACGACCCGCGGGCCGCCGCCTCCCCCGCTGCCGTTCCCGGCGCAGTGGAGCCCGGACCCCCCGCCGCCGCCGCCGCCGCCGTTCCTGTGAGGGGCTGAGGGGTGAATCCCTTCCCCGTCCTCGTCCGCCATCTTGCGAGCAATCGAGTCGTACCCCCGCCCCCCTACGCCTCCACTCCCTCCCAGCGCGCGCTCGCCCTCCTCAGCAGCCGCGCGACCCTCGGCGCGCGCGCCCGAACCACCGGCCGCGGGACCGAGACGGCCACGGAGCTGCCGGCGGGGTGAAGGGGAGCAGGGGGCGGGGGAAAGCGGAAGGTTGTGCACCGCGAGGCCTCACGGGAAATGTAGTTTCCGGCCGCGGGGGCGGGGCGAGGCTGGGCCCGGCCTGGGCGGAGCTCTAGGGCGCACGCTCGGGAGCAAGGCCTGCTGGGAGTTGTGGTTTCTCCCCTGGGGTCTGTGAGGAGATCCACGTGCTGCCTAGTGAGCCTCCAGCCTAACGCCGAGCCTGGCCAGGTTTTGGTCCGCTGGCTTAGGGCAAGGTTCTGTTTTTGTTTCGTCCTTTCATTTCATAGCCTCCAAAAACGTTAATTGGGCTAAGGTCGGAGCCCAGAGGAGAGACGTGGAGTTTGTGCGTGGCCTGCACGAGGACTGGAGTGGATCCCCAGCCCCGTGGTGGCGACGGGAGAAGGGACAAAAGGAAGAGAGAAAGAAAGAAACCCAACGGGGTTCGTAGTAGGTGATGTTTGTGATTCAACACGAACCTAACTTGCTTGGTAACTCGTGTTCGTTTTATTCCACGACCCAGAACCACCTTGTGAGACAGCTGGATCTGAATTCGTTTCCCAGTTTCACTCATGAGGAGACTGAAGCTCAGAGTGTCCAAGGAAACCGGATGTTGAGTAACCGGAAGCAAGGCCTAGCTGTGTTTGCGCAACTGTCCGAACAGTGTAAGAGCTGCACCAACTAAACCAAAAACGTGGAAGGAAACAGCTCTAACTGGGTGTTAGAGCGGTCCAGTAATGACTTCAATTGTGCAATGGTTTTGACGTTACCTTTATTTTAAATTCATTGTGTTTTCCCCAGCAGAACAATAGAATTCTTTACAAATGGTGGCAATTGGTGGCTTTGGCTGCCTACCAAAAGACAAACTTACAGATGTTGTGCAAAGTGCCTGGTGAAGAGAAGTAAAAAGAGTGAGAGTAAAAAATGGTGAAGATAAGCTTATTTAAGCCATTATTACTCCAGTCTGACAATTGATTTCATCCTACTGATAAGGTAAGTCTGTTTACTGTTTCATAGGTGTTGTGGAAGACACAAGATTTCTGGGTCAGAGACACAAGACTGTCTATTACTCAAGACCCAAGAAGCAAGGAGCTTCAGCATGTTTGTGTCAGTTCCTTTTGCCCTTCCCACCTCCTGAGTAACACATGCTTGAAACAAAGGGCCCAAATGAATACTGTGCCCTTAGTGGATTCACAACACAGCTAAGAAACACTGAACTTGAGGAAGCTGCCATTTTATAGGAAGCAGTAAGCCAACCTGTTCTTTGACCTAGAGGGAGATATTACTTTATCCCTCATGGTTGCTCATACAAATACATCCCCGCAACCCTGAAATATAACCCCAGTGAAGAACAGTCAGGACCTTGCATTTTTGGCATACCTAGGAAGATGAAGCATGAAGATTACAGTACTGGGCTGGGGTTGTGGCTCAGTGGTAGAGCACTTGAGGCACTGGGTTCAATCCTCAGCACCATATAAAAATAAATAAAATACAGGTGTTGTGTCCATCTACAGCTAGAAATATTTTTTAAAAAACAGTGGCTTAGGGATGCAGAGATAAATAAGATGATATCTACAAACTCCATGAAGGGCACTAGTACGTGGTCAAACTAACAAAACACATATGCCTTGATCTGGCAGTTCCACTTCCAGGAGTTCATGCTAGTATTACACTTTCACAGGTGTAAAATGACTTTGTGTGTGTGTGTGTGTGTGTGTGTGTGAAGGGAAGTTGTTGCAGTACTGTTAGTTTCCAATGGTTTGTGAATTCAATCTAACAGTTACTGGTTAAATGATACATCCACAATGGAAAACTGAATCATTGTAAATAAAGAGTAAGGAAACTGTTTATGCACTGATGTGGAAAGATCTCATGGAGACTGTATATGGTTAAGGTAGAACAAGGTGCAGCTCAGACTAGAGCACATAATACCATCCTGTGTGAAAGAGGAAGCATGTATATATGTATATATTTAGAAATATCACAAGAAACTGATAACATTATGCTGCTGGGGAGGGAGACTAGACAGCTAGGGTGAAGACAAGGGTAGAAAGGAGACTTTTCACTTTATTCCTGTTTTGGTTTGGATCTGGAATGTACCCCCAAAACTCATGTATTGAAGTCTTGATTCCACTGCATCAGTATTTAGAGGTAGGGCTTTTAGGAAATCACTGCTCACATCCTGCGCTAGTGATGGGATCAGGGTCACTCCGCAATGAAAAGACCACACAAACACAGAAGTACATTTTGCAGGAGTCAGGGATGGCTCTTCGACCTCGAGGGTCAAGCTCCCACGCTGGACAGCACTGGAAAAGGTCATGAGGAGCAAGAGAGAACACACCAGAAACCCTCTATTTATTAGGAAAAAGACACTCCTTAGAATATTCCACTCAAATAAGGAAAGGGATACAATTACAGAAAATGGGGGTGGGGGGGATGCCCAAGCCCAAAGCTAAGGCACTTCCTTGCCCAACAAAGGTAAGACCCACTTGCTTCTCACAGCGTGCAATGCCAATTCAGTACCCCCACTACTCAAGGTTGAGGGGGTGTGCCTAGCTTGTCTGCAGGGCAGCCCTGGCAGGAAGTGGTTGGATCATGAAAGCTTTAACCTTACCAATGGACTAATCCATTGATGAATTCATAGCTGAATGGACTTTTGGATGGTGGTGGAAGCTGTAGGAGGCGGGGCCTAGTTGAAGGGCATGGATCCCTGGAGTACTGTATCTTTTCTACAACCCCTTCTCTTTCTCTCCTCTCTGCCTCCCTGTGCTTTCTAGCTGCCATGAGGTTAACAGCTTTGCTCTGTCACTCCCTTCCACCACAATGCTCTGCCTCATCCCAGGCTCAGAAACAGTGGAGTCTGCTGACAGTAACCTGAAACTGTGGGCCAAAATAAATCTTTCCTCCTTTAAATTGTTTTTCTCAGGTATTTTGTCACAGCAATGAAAAGCTGATTAACACAATTCCTTTCTGTAACAGTTCTCTAACTTCTGCATTTTTAGTCATATGACTATGTTGCCCATCCAGAAAATAAGTAAAATATTAAGTAAGAATCAGATTGGCAGAAAGGGTGATCAGATCATCAAAAATAGAGAATAAGACACCATGATTATTTTTGAGAACTAACAATCTAGCAGAAGAAGCAGCAAAATACAAAATGATTACAATACAGAGGCATGCACAAGCTGCTAAAAGGGCACATAAGCAGGGACTCTCAAGCATCCAGAGGTTAAGGAGTTAAGGAAGATGTTTCATAAAATGGGAGAGCTTAGCTGAGTGATTAGAGAGGAGAAGAGATAGCAAGAGAGAAGAAGGGTGATGGAAGGGCATTTTTGGAAAGGGGAACAGCATGTTCAAGAGATTTAAAAGAATAATAGTAAGGGATAGGAAAAGCAGCAGAATACAACAGACACTAGTATGGCAGTATGTATAAATGTGGCTGTATAACCAATGTGATCCTGCAATCTGTACACGTGGTAAAAATAATAATTCATACCTCATTTGAATCAAATGTATGATATATGATATGTCAAGATCATTGTAATGTTTTAAGCAACCAATAAAAAAAAAAAAAAGAATAATAGTGCAGTGTAAGAACATTCAGTCCAGTAGGATAAGAGCAGAGGCAACAGAGCAGGAAGTACGCTAGGGAGGTAGGCAAGAGTTAGATCTGAGAAGGCTTCAGACACTGAATTCCATGCCCAGGAGTTTGAATTTCATGCCTAAGAATTCAGGGCCTCTGAGCCAGGCACAGTGACTCACGCCTGTAATCCCAGCAGCTCGGGAGGCTGAGGCAGGAGGATCATGAGTTCAAACCAGCCTCAGCAATTTAGCGAGGCACTAAGCAACTCAGTGAGACCTGTCTCTAAATAAAATACAAAAAAGGGCTGGGGGTGTGGCTCAGTGGTTGAGCACCCCTGAGTTCAATCCCCTCAGAATGTTTTTTCAGCAAAGCAGAAGTATCATCAGATTTGTGCTTCAGAAAGTTCACTTCAGGATATGAGGAGAATGAATTGAGATAGATCAGTTAAGAAGCAATTGCAAGGGCTGGGGATATAGCTCAGTGGTAGAGCACTTGCTTAGCATGTGCAGGGCTCTGGGTCCAATCCCCAAGGGTCACCAAAAAAAAAAAAAAGAAAAAGAAGAAGCAATTGCAAGCTAGGTAGATTACAAGCCTGTAATCCCATGGCTCAGGAGGCTGAGGCAGGAGGATCACAAGTTCAAAGCCAGCCTCAGCAACTTAGTGAGGCCCTAAAGCAACTCAATGAGACCCTGTCTCTTAAAAAAAAAAAAAAAAAAAAAAAAAGGCTGGAGGATGTGGCTCAGTGGTTAAGCAACAAGGTTCGATCCCCAGTACTGGGGGGGAAAAAACCCTACAATTGTAGTGATTCAGGTGAAAATTAATAGGATTCCAATTAGGGAGTGGAAATACAAGGAAGGAGACACCTGGGAGAGAAGGGACTTGGTGACTATTAGGATCTCAGTTGCAAGTGTGGCGGGGAAGGAAGGGTGTATGATTGATTCCCCAAGACAATGTATGAAAAAGAAGAGGTTGAGTGGAAGAAGATAATGAGTTTAGTTTCGGGCCTGGTGGATTTAAAGGCTCTGTGGAGATTCAAGAGGAATCATCCAGTAACTGTGGATGCATAAGTCTGGAGCTAGGGAAAGGAGTATGGGTCATGCACAGATTTGGGAGTCTTTGACTCTGGGTGGTGGCAGATGAGAGTACCAAGATAGGCATTGTAGTAAGATGAGAGGATGGGGCTGGGGATGTGGCTCAAGTGGTAGCGTGCTCGCCTGGCATGCGTGTGGCTCGGGTTCGATCCTCACCACCACATACAAACAAAGATGTTGTGTCCGCTGATAACTAAAAATAAAATAAAATAATTTAAAAAAAAAAAAGATGAGAGGAGTGTCATGGCCAGGTTCCAGGGAATCTCCACCAACCTCCTCCCCCTAAGAGGAAGGAGATAGAGTGAAAGACTAAGAAAAACCAGAGAGCTGGGGGACCCAGAGAGAATGAGGTCCTGGATGTCAGCTTCGTTGACATCCAGGACCTGGACCATATGCAGAGCACTTTCCAAGCAAGGGCTTGTTTCACCATGCATTAACAAACAGAAGTATTCACATGAAACTAGGCTCAGATAACCATCAGACCCAGTCACATTGCTAGTTAACAGGGTAACTGAACCTTGAACCCAGATGTTCTGACACCAAGGTCAGGGCACTCTTCACTATCTAGCTTCCTTTTGGTTAATTATGAAAAGGTTCCACCTGCCCTTTGTGACCTGCAGAATTAGCAGGTTTCTGTTCCCTTTTGTGTGGGAATTCTTAGGTGAGAATTCCACCTCTGAACTTTTGCTCACATGATCCTTGCATCCTAGATATTCTATCTTTTCTCTCTCTCTTCACTGGTGTGAATTCTACTCATTTTTCAAGCCCTACAGAAGTCCCTCCATTAAGCCTTCCATGAGGACTCCCGTTCACTCTGACATCTCTCTTCTAAATTCCTGAGGAAGATACACCTTCATGTGACCCCCTTTGAGCTCTTGTGTAATTCCCTCCCCTTGAGGGTAAATGGGACCTGTGACCTCTTCTAGGCAATAAAATATGGCAAAGGTGATGATGTGACCCTCCCATGATTATGTTACGGTATTTAACATTCCTCCCTAGCAGGCTAAGTGAGGAGGTTCTCCTGCAGGCCTTGAGAAAGTAGCTGCCCTCCTGAGAAGTGCCTTGGGGACACCACACTGTGGGGAACAGCAGAGACCTCCAGAAGCTGAGGGACAGCAAGAAAACGGGGCCTTCAGTCCTGTACTCTGAGGAAATTCTGCCAACAACCACATGAACTTGGAATAGGATCTTGAGCTCCAAAAAGAAACAGCCCAGCCACTACTTTGATTGCAGTGTGACCTGAGCAAAGGATCCAACAGAGTCCAGATTCCTGACACCGACTGAAACCACGAGACCAGGGATGCAGCTTGGTTTTGTTTGTTTGGAGTTTTTTAAATTTTATTTATTTTATTCATTTTAGTTGTTGAAGGACCTTTATTTTTTATTTATATGTGGTGCTGAGAATCAAACCCAGTGCCTCACACATTTGAGGCAAGTGCTCTACCACTGAGCCACAACCACAGCTCCTGCATCTTGTTTTGTGTTATTGAATAACAATTGTTGCAGGTTGTTACACAGCAATGGATAAATAATATACCTCCTATTGCATTTATGGTCAGCACTATTCAAGTTAGACCAGAATATAATGCCTAGTTTTGCTTTACCTTTCCAATCTGAACATAAGCTTCTTGAAAACAAGGAACTGGTTACATATGATTTGTCATGCCCCCATAGTATATGAGAATGAGAGATGTTTATGGGATGTTAGTCCAGGAGCTGGTGCTGTGACACACACCTGTAATCCTAGCAGCTTGGGAAACTGAGGCAGGACAATTGTGGGTTCAAAGCCAACCTCATCAACTTAGGCCCTAAGAAATTCAGTGAGACCGTGTCTCTAAAGAAAATATTTAAAAAGAGCTGGGAATGTGGTTCAGTGATTAAGTGTCCCTAGGTTCAATTGCTGATACCAAAAACAAAGAATGTTAGTCCAGGAAAAGATTCAAAAGTGGCTGACCCCTGCTGCATAGGACCTTGGGGGGGACTCACACGACTAATGTGGAGAACACGGAACAGCATGCTTAGGACATAAGTATCATTAACAACACTGTAAGTCAGGCATGTGGTACACCTGTAATCCCAGTGACTCAGGAGGATGCGGCAAGAGGATCCCAAGTTTGAAGCCAGCCTCAGCAACTCGGCGAGATCCTGTCTGTCTGTAATCCCAGCATCAATCCCAGCGACTCAGAGGCTGAAACTGGAGGATCGTGAGTTCAAAGCCAGCCTCAGCAACTGCGAGGCACTAAGCAACTCAGTGAGACCCTGTCTCTAAATAAAATACAAAAAATAGGGCTGGGGATGTGGCTCAGTGGTCAAGAGCCCCTGAATTAAATCCCTAGTACCAAGTAAATAAAATAAAAAGGGCTGAGGATGTACCTTAGTCACAGAGCACCCCTGGCACCCAACACTGAAAAATAATAATAACACTAATGTCACCTCTAACCTCATTCCCTCTTTTTTTTTTTTTCCCGAGTGAAGAAATAGCTTCCCCGATCGACCAACCAAAAAAGACCCAGCAAAGCATAGCAGCTTGTCAAAGGTCACAGAGCAGAACAGTGGTCAGAATTCAGCCCTGAGAAGACAGATGACTTAAAAGAGGCAAGGAAGCATTCCATTACCTGTGGCGTCACGGGGCGAGGAGAACAAAGGACCCTGCCCTCATTCCCTCCTCTTTCTTCACTACTTGTCTATACTTGCTCCACGAAGACCACATGAGAAATTATATTTTTGGTAAATGGAGTAACTGACTCTCACAGGAAAACCTAGAGACGAGAAGGTTTACTAGTCAAGAATAGATTAGTTGCAAGCGATAGAAATCAACTAAATCCTCAATTCAAACTAACTTAAGCGAAAAAGAGTATGTACATGTTCACAGAGCTAAGGAGGACACAAACACCCCAAAACCTAACGGCAAAACCATCATTTTATGCTCACAGCCTCTGGGTCAGAAGTTCAGATAGGACTCAGTGGGGATGGTTGTCTCTGCTCTGTGAGCCTCTCTGAAGAACTCAGAGCCTCAGGGTGACCTGGCGACTGGAGTCTGATTTCATTTGGAAACACATATGGTGGCTGAGGCTGGCTGCTGGCTGGAACCTCTTCTCGGCCTGTGGTCTGCCCCCACCCATGGCTTCTCCACATGGCTACTCAGCTTCAAGCGCATGGCGAGGACCCAAGGAAGAAACCAGTAGTGCATGTGGCATCTTTATAACCTGACCTCAGAAGTCATATAGCATATGGTTTTGCCCAAGTGGTCACAGAACGTGGCCTAGGTGCCAGGGCAGAGGACTTAACACCATCCTCCAGTGGAAGGAGCATTACAGCATGTGAAATGAGATATATCATGAGATGAGATGTATATTTTCCACTTTTGGAAAATAGAATCGTCCACACTGGGGTAATTCATAGCAAGTGCTGCAAGAACCAGGCCTTGGGGTTGGACACAGGGAGCTCAGGGAGACTTCTCTCTTTTCATCTGCCTCTCAGTTTTACTCATCTCTGTTTCTCTTATAGGAAAAAGAGCCACCACCCCCCTTATTTTTCTCAGCATATGTATAGTTTCCCAGAGAAGGACTTTGAATGGCCCTTACTTGATCAATTAAGGCCCACCACTTGGATCAATTAACGGTACCTGAACAGCTCTGATTATCCACACCTGGATCACATGCTCAGGTCACATACCTACGAAGAAAGCTTATTGGGCAGACTGTAAAGAACAGCTAGTGCAATGAAGTGCACACCTGTAATCCCAGCAGCTCAGGAAGCTGAGGCAGGAGGATCACAAGTTCAAGACCAGTCGAGACATTTACTGAGGTCCTAAGCAACTTAGCAAAACCCTGACTCAAACTAAAAAGGGCTGAGAATGTAACTCAGTGGTAAGCACCCCTAGGTTCAATCCACGGTTACAAAAAAAAAAAAAAAATAGAATATAATAGAAACGAGCTAGAACAGTCTACCACAGGTTTAACTTCAGTAAGCCTCTCTGTCAGCTTGGGGTGCGACCATAATTAGGCTAGTTCTCTACCACGCTTCTGTTAGCTGTACTGTTTCCGAGTCTTACCTGATGATCATATCATGCACTATCTTCTACGTGGCCACACACCATGACTCTGAGATTTTTGGATTTCCCTTCAGAGGGAAAAGTTCCTGGACCTGACAGCCACCCTGGCCTGCTTTTCTCTACCATTCCCTCTCGCCACACCTGACTACCATGTTTCAAAGAGTCGACATTCCTAAGTAGTCACTTTTCACCATCCTTGTAGGCAGTTGTCACTCTGCTAGCTTCCCAGTAACTCCCCATTTGCCCCCCTCACAATCAAACTCAACTTTTCAAGGGCCCTTTATTCCCTGGAAATTACCTTCCAGAGCCAACAGTTGAGAAATAACGCAATACATCAAGAGATCGCATGACCAAAAAAAAAAAAAAAAAAACAGGGTTTCTGAGTTGTCAGCATCATCCAGTGGAAAAGGGTATGAAATGTGTGTCATCCACATTGGCTCCTATCTAGCTTTAATCCTTAACATGTCATTAGGATGCTTTGGATTGCAAATACAGAAAATTTAAAAATGGGTTTTTTTAAGATCTTATTCATTTATTTATCTATTTTTTTTGGGGGGGGTGTTTTTTGTTTTTGTCTTTTTTGGAACAGGGGTAGAGCCCAGGGCTTTGTGAATCAAGGCAGATGCTTTTGCTACTGAGCTACATCCCAGCCCTCAAAAATGATTTTAAAAGGAAATGTATGGTCTCAAATAAGTAGCAGGACTAAAGGTGGTAAATTCCAGATCAGTTAACTCAACAGTTCATCCATGTAAAGGATTCATTCCTCCCATCTCCCATGTCTGCCACCTTCACTGTATCATCAGGACCGTTTCACTAATGCCTCTCATGGTGGCAAAATGGCTGCTGAGTTCCAGGCATCACCAACACACATGGCTACAATATTGAGAAGCAGGAAATAGGAAGTTTCTTATTGAAGCTTGCCACAGTCTGGCTGGGCACAAATCACGAGCCACTGAAGCAGGAACAAACTTTATTTCTGAACTCCACCAGCACACTCCACACACACTCCCTGGGAACTCTCCCGAACACCACGAGGCTCCTCCAGGAACCACCAGCCAGAAATCCCTCCTCCGGCACTTCCCCAATCAATTCAAACTCTTCAGGAATCCCCAGTGAGAGCTCAACCGGAACTCAACGGGAACTCCGCGAGAACTTAAAAGTCATCATCTTAATGGCTTGCTGGCGTCACCTCTCAACCACTACTTCTGGCAAAAATGCCATGCGTCATCCGGACTCGGCTGTGGCCCTCAACAGAAGCTCCTTTTTTTTTAAGTTGTTGATGGACCTTTATTTTATTTATTTTTATGTGGTGCTGAGGATCCAACCCAGCGCTTGGCACATGCTAGGCCAGCTCTCTACCATTGTGCCACAACCCCAGCCCTCCTTTTTTTTTTTGTTTTTCTAGTCCTGGGGATTGAACCCAGAGGCAATTTACCACTGAGCTACATCCTCAACCCTTTTTATTTTTTTTTTAAATTTTGGGACAGGGTCTTACTAAATTGCTAAACCTGTCCTTGAATTTGTGTTCCTCCCATCTCAACTTCCTGAGTCGTTGGGATTATGGGCGTGTGCCACCATGCCCAGTGTTCTTGTGTTTGTTTGTAAAAGCAAGAAACTCCTCTCCATATCCTTGCATCAGCTTTCTTTCATGTCTCATGAGCAAAAGTGTATCACATGCTAATCCACTAACTCAGTCACTGGCAAAGGAGCCAAAATTACTGTGGCTGACTCAAACTAAGAAAGACTTACTCCTGGGGCTAAGAGTCGACTCATCCCTGTGTGCCTCACTCGCCAGTGAATACCAGAACGATAATAAACTAGGGCTTTGCAAAACCAAAGGATGGGAGCTAGGAGGGAGAAGGCAGGATGCTTTTAGATAGGCAGCCAGTTGCATCTAATGCCCTTCCCCTTGGCTTCTCCAACCATGAACTAGAGATGATGGTACCTGCTTCATCTGTACATGGAGATATTTTAAAAAATGGGATTTTTCTGGACACTCATCAAAATAGTTCAGTTAAAAAGTAGTGAGAGAACTAGGTGCAGTGGCACACGCCTGTAATCACAGGGGCTCAGGAGGCTGAGACAGGAGGATCACAAGCTCAAAGCCAGCCTCAGCAATTTAGCAAGACCCTAAGCAACTCAGTGAGACCCTGTCTCAAAATAAAAAAACACTGGGGATAGCTCAGAGATAAAGAACCTCTGGGCTCAATTCCCACTACCAGAAAAGGATGGGCGGCTGGGATTGTAGCTCAGTGATAGAGTGCACC